CATCCACATGAAAACGACTTTTGTCATCTAAAGATAAGTGAATTATGGACCAGATACAATGTTTACCAACCAGACACGAACCGGACAAACCTGGACATGAACCCGGACACGAACCGGCGAACGGTGGCGTGCCAAACGCGAATCCGTTCATTCTTTTGGTCATTTCATTTCCTCAAATCAAGCAAATTCCTTTGCATCCTTACACTCGTTTGCCCACACATCCATCCGTTTATTTGATTTATTCATTTCTTCATCCACCTGCAAACAAGTCACTCCAAATGCAACTTTTGACAGAAAAAACAAACATAATTCCTCGTTCTATTCTTCAATCATCTACTCCTCCATCCATGATGCATCCATCCATGTATCCATCAACCTTGATGGCTTCATTCATCCATCCATCTGCATGCATATTCACCTTGTCAATAGGTGTTTTCTTTTCGTCACAGAAAGTCACATCCATCCATGTTTCCATGCACGAAACTTTGACAGATGCTGCTTCCAGATATTAGATTGGGGAAGTCTGAATTCCAGGCACTTTCGGGAGCATTCCGCAAACTACGCGTTTACACTCGAAAACATACCACAAGCGCATTCGAAACTCGAACTTGGAGGGCTCGGAAGATGTTGAACAGAGCGGTCGGAATGCTTTCCCACGCAGATTCAAGATCGCTGCCGCCATGTTTCCCGCCAAACACTGGCTCATTCAAGAGAAAGCCAATCATAGCACGCGGTGACTATTGAGGGTTTTGTTGAGGAGGACGACACCACATGTGTTGGAACTTCTTCGAGATTGCATCGATTCTCAAAATTATATGCACGGAACCAGTGAGAAGGTTGCTAATTCAAAAAAAAAGTGCAGTGAAACTTAAACAAGGCACTGAACCGGACACCCCACCGACAGGTTTGCAATTTCCAAAGCAACATGCAGCCCGTCTTGGATTTACAACAGATTCTGCGTGAAAACCACCTGTTGCCTGAGCAAATGCGGCGGAAACGTGCGTCCACCTTGTCGTGCCGAATCCATCGAAACAGGCCCCGACCCGTTTGTTGGAATTTACAACGGATCGCAACACGACCATGTAACTCCTTTTCCATGCTTGGTGGATTCAAGATCACGTCCGAATTCCGTTAGTCCGAGTGCTGGCGTGATTCAGCCGAGAAACATCGCGGCAACGCACGCGCAGCCCGATGTTGCATGCCGACGACCCACAATTACACATGCGCGGAGAACCTCGCCGATCGCGCGAGATGCCGAGAGCGTTGCAATTATCTGGACGCAGAGGGTGCGTCTGCTGTGATTAATGGATCGTGCCGGCCCAAACTCGAACAGTGTCTCAAAAAGAGAAAGGCAAACGCCCAACACCTATCCCGAGCATTTTATTGAAACACCCTTCGCCAACGCTCTCAGGAACAACCTGTGTGGAGCTTTTATTTTTGCGACCATGATTTTCGATACACTTCAGCCACATCTTGCGTTTCTAGGCCAAACCCTCTGAACTAGAAGAGCTTCAACTGTGACCGTGCTTCGCAAAAAGTCAAACCCTTTGGGAAGAAGGCCGGAACTAGGTGCTTTGGCTTCAATCACTCAGGTGCCGGGCGTCGGGCCGACACAAGAAGATCTATATGCTTGAACCAAATCCCCAAGCCAAGCCCGAGCCTTTCTGAAGATGGCGTGGCCCAAGCAAGCTTCTTTGGCTGTTTATGCCTCATCTACTCTCTTGCATGCGTGATGGCTTGTGATGTTCATGGTTTTCATGACCTCCATCGAAATCCCATTGGCTTTGCGTGCACAGTACTTCTGGTGCATCTGCTTTCAGCCGATGTCTTTGACGTCGCGGCCACGATGCTGGATCCGTTCAGGCATTGCAGAGCCTGTGATCGATCCGGCTTCGTGGTGCCTGCAGCAACAAAGATGCTGCAAGTAAGGAGGGTGACCAACAGAACTTGGAGGATCATGGGACTTAGTAACTATAGCTACAAGTCCCTCAATTGGGGTTATAAGTAATTATAAGTATAGTTACCCCAATAATAGCCTGGCTACTAAGTCCCGTGATCCTTTAAGTACCGAGCCACTCTGATAGGCAGCTCGCAATCGGTGTGGTGGCTCCGCGCTCTAATGGGGATTCCTTGACCATGTTCCGAGCACGCCAATCAGTGGCGTCATAGATGATGGCCTCCGAAAGCTGTTTGGTAGGGTAGGGTCATCGGGACCCGTAGGGGGAAGAGGGGCAGGGGGCCTTGATACCTGTAATAAGGACTAGTCCCCTACCCATGATAGGGGGTTCTGTGGGTGTTTGAAGCTACTGACGGTGGGCCTCCAGGCTTGCCTCGACGGCCGCCATGTTCGGACGGTGTTGAAAGTCAGGTTCCAGCATTTGAATGACCAACTCGTCGATGGCTTTGGGAGGCTGTGGAATGTTGGGATCATGATGTGGATTGTACGCTGTAGCCTCGCAAACAATCAACAAACGCGAACTCTGCGGTTTTGCAAGCTCTGCCTCCTACCAGTGCCAGCCTTACTTCCATTCCGATCTGCGTAGAATGGAGGGAGGCGCGAATACACCACCTCATACAAAATCGCTCCAAGAGCCCATACATCACGTGAACGCAACCGTCCACCATGAGGATCACTATTCCACACCTGGGCATCAACGTGTTTTGCAAGCTTCGACGAGTCATTGCCTTTTGGCCGCTGCCTCCGGGGCAATGTAACCAGGCGTGCCCCGCCGGCCGCATTGGCGAGGCTTTCGCGGGTCGCAAGCCAAACCAAGATCGATAACAGCCGCGAAGCAGCCGTCGCCCTGGCCTTGGAAGCGACTTCCTCGTAGCATTGAAAAGAGCATGAACAAAGACATCGTGAATGAAAGGCTTCCAATTCAAGCCACAATTGATCATCACGTTTTCAGGCCTCAGCTCTCAAGGACTCCTGGGCTGCAGCTTCGAAGTTCGGACTTCTTGGGGCTCCCGGCTTCAAGTCTGCGTGAAGATAGCCAGTCTTGTCATGAAATGCCCTCACGCCTCTGACAACATCAAGGAAGAGCGCGAGCATGTAGGGAGTCGTGTAAGGGGCCTTTCAGGGTCAGTGCAATGCAGTGGCCGCGCCTTTTGGGAGCTGCAGGGTTCCCTTAAAGGGATCTATAGGCGGTTACTTTTTAAAGGGATCCATAAGGGATCTAGAGTCACAAAAGTTCAGAGACCGCGCCCCCAGCTTGGACCAGCAGTTTCTGCCACCCTTGCAATTTCTGCAAGCGCTCGCTTCGCAGTGTTCAAGCAAATCTTGAAGCTCACCACTGTTCATGAGAGGCATCCTGAGCGTAAGGATAAAGGACATCAACTTGGAGCCTGGAGCACTATCCAATGTCACAAACACCCTTCTGTCCAAGCTATGCGTCATGATCCAGTAGCCGGTCGCCGTCTCAATAGAAGAAGGCGAACCAATCGCTGAAGTACAGAAATCCGAAACTCCGCTCATCTCTTTGAGGAGCTTGATCTCCCTTTTTACCATCGAGGACTTTCCTTCTATGAACTTCACTGTGACGTATGATTTCGTGCTGGCACAAAGGACCTTGCACTTGTAGACTTTTCCGAAGGAGCCCTCTCCAAGCTGTCTTGCAATCTTCAGCTGGGATCTCCACTCCAACGGCAGTTCTGTGGCAGTGTCAGTCTCGGCGAAACTCGTCACCACCAACGGAAAGTCGGCGCCCTCCCTGAGCATGTGCAGACCAGTCTCGTTGAATGCCCTGAGCCGCTGCAACTTCATATCTCCTGCCGTCTCCTGGCATAGCGAACTTGACAAGTTGGGCTTCCAGCGAAGGCCACAAGGCCCCGAGCACCCCATCATGCCCGATCTCCTCTCCCCTTCCGGGCGGAGCGCGGACGTCCTTCTCATTGTCTTGGAAGAAAAACACTCGAAACTCAGAACTGACATGCTGGAACTTTCGTCCTTCAAGTCCACACGAGCTGCATGGAGCAGTGGAGTCAGGGCCTCACCAAAGTTTACTTCAGCTGGCTCCACAAAAACCTTGCGTAGCATTAACATGCCAAGGAGCGAATAGGAGCATAACGTTCATGTCGACAAGGCGGAATTGAATTTCGAGAACGACGGTCCTTGAAAGCACGGTTTGTGTGAGACGAATGTCCTCTTCCCAAGCACTGTGTTGACAAAGGCCTCTCTTGCGGTCGAGGATCAATATGCATTTGGTGCAAGCCGTGACATTTCAGCTGAGCCAAAAAAACAAAGCGTATCCAAACTGCACTAGGTGCAATCCCCAATTTGTCTCGGCATGTACACGGACGGATATCCCGGAACGTCTCGCACGGCATACTGCCTATGCATGAGCGCTTTCCAGCTACGCTAACGTAAGCATGGAAGTCTCACGGAATACATCGGCTTTTTCTGGCAGCATGTGCTTGCAAGAATGCAAGAGTTCATTTGCGGCTGTCCACGAAGGAAACTGCCTGCGCAAAGCCAGGGATGCAGAATCTTGCTTTGTCTACCAAGTGTTTCTTTCGGACAGGATTTCACCGTATCTGTGCAATGCCTCACTGCAAGACGCAGTACACAACGGCTCTCCAAGCTCCGAACCTATCTACACTTAAGATCTCGAAGCCCGATGAGACAGTCATACACATCTCCCGTTCTTTCACAGCTGGGCCTGGTCTAAGCTTGCACGGAACTGGCCCAACTTGCTCATGTCTGATCTCATGGCAAAGACCTGCGGAGCTGTGCAAGACACTGCTTGCAGAGCATGAGAAACCTTTCCTGGCAAACACGCCTCTTGTGCCAACTTCTTGTTGGCTTCCATTTGGGCCTGCGCTTCTCCAGGAGAGTTCAGAAAAAAGCGCAGTGCCACTTCCCCCATTGAATATGGCACATGGTCAAATAGGTCCACTCGAGCAGTGTTGCTCTGTGGCCCAGCGTCCCAATCCCAACGCCTTGTTCTGGCTCTTGCTTTCCTTCAGGTCTGCCTGCATCGCACAGCAGACTCAGGTGAAGGCATCCTTGCTGTGCGCCTTTTCCAGTGAAGCAGTGAGAGTCTACCGACAACAAGTCTAGCCTGCAGGCTTTTACTGGAGTTCTAGCACGTGCCTCCAAGTTGAGGTGAAGGCTTCGCAGCTCTTCTCCCTTCCGCCTGGCCGCGGACGAAATAACTCACGCCGATGACAGCAGGTGCTTGAGAATTCGGCCTCAGGCTTTCGGCTTCGGTTTTCAGGTGGTCCAAGCGTCGCTCCATTTCTCGAACCTTTCCAGAGAGAGCGAGAGAGAGTCAGGTAGCAAGCACGGGTCTCGGTCGATCAGACAATCAAAGGGGAAAAGGAGGGACCCTTAATAGGGACCCCTACCCTATAATGGGCTATATAATGGGTATATAATAGCTATATTCAGGGTATATACCTAGGGGTCCTTACTAAGGGTCCCTCCTGTTCCCCTTTGAGACAAGCCATGCGGCGAACGCAGGAGCCTGTTATCTTGAATCTGACACCTAGCTAGCGACTTTTTCTCAATCTCTTCCGCATGGCTGGCTGAGTCTCGTCCACTGCATCCCTTGTTCGACGGTATGACATCACCATCGACAGTTTGCTGTGGCCACCCGTGGAGTTACAAACACAAAACATGCTCAAACCAGCGGCCTGAGGTAGTGAATAGGTTTATGGCGAATTAACGCAGGTGCAGCCAAAAGCTCTCCAGAAAGGAAGCTGCCCGACTTCTCGTGAAGCATTCGGGCAAGCCTGCATTCGACGAGGGCTTCCCAAAATCGCGGGAAGTTATCTTCTCCAGTGCTTTCAAACCCTGCATTCCCAGAAGCCCCAGAAGCTTGAGCTCGATGCTCTGGCCCGGGGCACGGCTGGCCCCGGTGTCCGGCAAAGAGTCGACTTCGCAAGGCTGAGCCTTCTCTGTGAACCCCTGCATCCGGGACGTGTCGAAGACTTCTTCCTTGTTTTGGGATCCTGGGATCCTTATAATAGGGTCCCCCCTACTGTCGGAAACTCCCATATTGATCGTTTTGGGTAAATGGGAATTGGGTAAATGGGAAAAACACTTCAGCCTCGTGAAGAGCAAAGAGCAAACAAACGGAAACAACGCAGTCACAGCAGAGGCAGGCGCCCTCCAAACAGTCTCGGACTGAGCGGCTGCTGAGCTGAGTTGCTCCACGAATTTGGTTACACCTGAGCTGCCTGCTTACTGCTTGCAGAGTGGCAAGACACGAACAGGGCAACCAGCTTACATGCAAAAGGACTTTTTTATCGGTCGCTCCCCCGTTGCAACTTCGGCATGACGGGAGATTTGAAAACTTCTTCAACCAATCGCCGCTGCCCTTAGCCGCCTTAGCCTTTGCAGCATTTGAAGGAACCTCGCTGCAGATAGAAGAATGCCAGCCACTCCAACACTGGCAGAGGAAGAAGCCAGCCAGAGAGCACCTGAACTTCTGAACTTCCGCGCAAAGCACAAAAAATCCTCTTTCGTCGAGAAAGCTTTATTATTATTATTATTACTATTATCATTACTACAATTATTACTATTATTATTATCATTACTATTATTACTATTGTTGCTATTATTACTATGTCATACAGTGTGTTCCGGCATTGGCATTGTAGCTGTGTCCGGGAATGTCCCCTGCAAGCAGGGCGCCTGGGAATCCACCATTCGGTAGTTCACCTCAGGGTATTGACGGCCGTCTGTTTGCAATTGATGGAGCACAGACTCTGAGCAAAGCGAGGTTGCACAAGCGAACCACGCCAGCCCTGACGACGCAGACATGCGCTTTCCCGACTTTCACTTGACAACTTACAGGCAAACGTCGGGATTCTGAATCCAAGGAGCAACAAATGCCACCACCCACATCAGAGCCACCTCAGCGCAGGACATTCCTTGAGCAAGAAAGCCTCGCTTGAATCTCCTGCAGCAACCTGACCCATTATGCCTTCGGTTTGCTTGAGCTGTCCAGTGTCTGCCAGGACTTCACAAGAACTAGTCCACTGTGCCAGGACATTGCCAGCACGAAGTTCCACAGCCAAAGCAAATTTGAAAAGTCGGGTGGCTAGAGCTCCCAAAGAGACGTTGAGCAGCACCTCGCCTTGTCGGTAGCATGGTTGGTTGTCATGACTCGACAACCGTTGCAGCATGGCTTCGATTCGCATGTGTAAGCGACGCCGCGCTCCTGCCTGCCCAGCATCCTTTGAGAACCCATTCTGCTCTACACGAGACCCCCAACTCTTCAGCATCCACGGTGACGGCCGAAGGCAGCCGTGTCACGCAAAGGGGAGCTCCGCTCATCGCAGAAGCAGTAGCACAAGCGATGGCTCAGCGGAATCTGAGTGCAGCTGTGCAGATGGATAGCATGCGTTTTGCCGTTCAAGATATGCGCTAGTAATGAATAACAGCCGTAATGACATACCTGTGCTCCACACGGCCGGACTGAACAGCTGAGGAGGCTGCGATAACAAGCAGGCTGGCAGACCAGCCCAGCATGGTGGCCAAGCGGTAGAGGGTGTCTTCGTCATAGAAGCGTCCTGCGCATTCGAAAGCGCTAGAAGAAGGAACCGCTGCTAACTCTGGAGGAAGGGGGAGGTGTTTGGAGAAGCGGTATCATGCCCACATTCAATACGACAGACACGTCTCTCAGTGTCAACAGAACCCATGCACACAACCCCCTTTTGACTTTCGGCGAGCCCGTCCAGCAATGTAGTCCGCCTCCGAGAAGAAGTTGATCATCACAATGGGCAGCAACATCTTCATGGGATAATGAACCTTGGCTCTCAAAAGGGCGGCTACTCTCAGGTGCTGTATTTCCAAGGAACTTGCTTGACACCAAAGACGCGCTACGGGAGGTCTTGGGGGTTTCCATCCGAAGGCCTTGGATGTGAGAAGCTCAAGTCAGATCCGCCGGGAGGAAGCACGGTATCTCACTACCCCAAGAAGTTGAACAAACGCTTTACCAAAGACTATGACAGTCGCGTGATTGCCTTCAGAGGAAACTGGCTCCAAATCGAAACAAAGCATTTCCCGCATCAACACCTGCTATGCTAAGCTTGGCTTGAGGTGCAGAGTTGAGGGCTGGAAAACCTCGAAGCATGCAAAAAGAACACCAGTCTGATCATCGAGTCTTCGAACCATCCCTAATTCCTAATTTTTGGGGCCTTATTTATTTGAACAGGGTTTCCTGCGCTGCTCATGGTACTATATTTATAATCAGGAATCCCCAAAACCCTGCTCGAACTATTCAGGTCCCTAATATAGAACCCTATTAAATTATTATAGATCCATTATAGATCCCTTTAAGGATCCCTTTAAAGGGAACCCTAGGCAACTCTTAAGGCCCCCTCGCTCAGCCGAAGAGGCCTCGGAACCCAGAGCCTGGAGCACTTGATCGCTGACTCCTGGACTCGGGGATTCCGATCTTCCCTTTGCTTAGGAGGGAAGGGGGTCTATAAGGGGGGATCTATAATTTAGGGGCCTTAATAATCCTATAACTTACCTTTGCTTAGTAGGGAATGGAAGGGGCCTAAAAAAAGGGGTCTATAAGGGTTACTAGAGGGGTACTATAATATAGGGGCATTATTAATACCATAACATACCTTGGCCTTAATAATCCTATAACTTACCTTTGGTTAGTAGGGAATGGAAGAATTGTGGTAATAGTAGTTATACTTGTACCCCATTCCTCCATTCCCTAGTAAGCAAAGGTAAGTGACGTGGTTCCAGAGACTCCAATATCCCTGAATTACACGGTTAAGGGTTTAGGGGATCTACAATTATTGTATTGAAATTAGCCAATATGGGAGTTTCCGACAATAGGGGACCCTAATATAGCACCCGAAACAGTAGGATCAAAGACCCCCAAAATAAGGTACACCTAATTCTCGGAAACTACCATATCCCTGAATTACAGGGATCTAAAATATTGTACTATAATAAAAAGAAGGAACCCGCAAAACCCTATTTTAATTACTAAGGCCCAAGACTCCAATGTCCCTTAATTACAGGGATCTACAAGGGTGCTATGAGGGCTTAGAATACCAGGTTCCTGAGTAGCCCCCTTATAATAAAGATACCTCTTTTCCTACTATTCGGTGAAATTAAGGGTGCGCAAAAATAAAACGGGCAAAAGCGTACTGCTCAGGAACCTAGTTGATGTGCTGCCCCCTTGCCCTCTGTCCGAGTAGCCTGGGGGCCTTAGTAGTTTCAACAGGGTTTTGGGGGTTCCGTGTTCTAGTTATAGTACACGTTCCGGGTGTTCGTCACGAAAAAATTAATTCATTCATAATTATAGCACAATATACCTATTCGAATCCTTAAGGCCCCGACAGCATGTGAAGAGACCTTTGAGGTCAAACCGATTTTGGCGGCGAGGGTTTGGGGATTCCCGCGACTTGCGTCGCAGCCAAAAGCTCCTTCACGAATGTGCTTGTTGCACACGTCCAGGTTGGCAAACCTGAGGCAGTGTGGCCAAGTCTGAAATTCTGGTTACATTCACCACCCTCAATTCCATCATTACGAGTCTTACAATTTTTTGACTGCATCACTGTGAAAGTACTGGTAACATACTCTTCGTGACAAGTGTGCCGGTGGTGATGGTGTCTCAGTTAGCAGCTATGTCAATCCTGCACAAGGAAGGATAGCAATGGGGGAATCAAAAGCGTCATGCTACCAGTTCTCAAACGGCTTTACCTGAGTCCGAAGTCAATTTGGTGCAACGGGTGCCCACCGGCCCATGTGTGTAGTGACCCTGACAATCGAGAACGCGCTTTGGGGAGTACCGCTCTGTTTATGTCCAGACTGCTTCTTCAGAGTTTTGGGGGTTTGGGGTGTAGGGCTACTTAAAGGATCATGGGACTTAGTAACTAGGGTTATTATTGGGGTAACTATACCTACAATAACTTGTAACTATAGTTACTAAGTCCCATGATCCTCCAACTTACCTGTGGTTAGTAGGGAATGGAGGAATGGGGTACAACTATAACTACTATTGCTACCATTCTTCATTCCCTACTAACCAAAGGTAAGCTTCTTGCTTTGTTCGAGGCATGGATTTAGCCAAGCCGCCAACGCAGCAACGCCTTTTCCACGGCTCGGCGGTCGGAGGAGCTGAAGCAGTCAGCCTCCTGCACGGCCACTTGACTAGTTCATGGTTGGGATAGATTAAACATTTAAATCTTTATTCCTTATTGGGTTTAAGTACCCATGAAAATGTAAAATGTTACCCAACTAAATGACAAAGTTGAAGGCTCGTGCTTCGTGCACCGATTGACTGGGAGTTTCCGAAAACAGGGGACCCTGAAATAATACCCTAAATAGTAGGATCCTTATTATAAGGACCCCAATACAAGGCATCCCTAATTTTCGGAAACTCCCACTAGGTGCCTAGACATCTCTCTCCCAGACTTCTTCTGGCCGAAGCAAGGACATCGGAGACAGCATGACTGGAAAGTTAGACAAGTGGGGGCCCTCAATACAGACACTGAGCAACTTGTTGTAGGGGTCTGACAAAGGCGTTCCGTAATTGAAGAACACCTCTTACATCAAAGTTTCAGAAATATGCGACCCTATCGTAGACTCAAGTATGCCCATAACACGGAAAGGGACCCGTCAGTAAAAAATCCCTCGGTCAAAAGAACAAAACCGAGCCAAAGGAGGAAGGACAGCTCCCGGGACCTGCACAGCGAAGGTACGCAGCTGCTTCTCTAAGGCCTGCCGTGTCGAAGCTTGGAGGGTTCAAGGTTTGGGGTTTAATCATGGGACTTTCCGAAACATAGGGGACCCTAGTATAGTAGCCGAAATAGTAGGATCCTTATTCTAAGAAAAATGAGGTACCCCTAATTTTCGGAAACTCCCATATGATTCACCCCTAAACTCTAAACCCACCAGTAGTTCATAGTAGCATCTCTAAGGCCTGCCAGACTGGAAGTCGAAGGTTGTCATGTAGGGGCCTTGATAATTAGAATAGGGTTGTGGAGCCCATGGTACTGTAATTATAGAAAACGGAACCCCCAAAATAGTATTGGAACTTGGGTTCAAGGTTTGGGTTTAATCATGATATGATTCATAAAGAAACTAGTAGTTCATAGTAGTACTACCTGTGATAGTAAGATAGAAATAGTACTACTGATAATCATCGTCATTCCTAACACCATGAATCATAACTGGTGGCTCGGAGGCATCTCTCAACGGCATTGAAGGATGCCCTGCACTGCTTCCTCTGTAGGGTGTTCGACTGATGAACTCCTTTGCGATGAGCTGTTTGGTGCAGCTTTTGGCTTGCCTTCTGCTTCTGAGGCTTCTCTCGACAAGTACAAGCTGGTAGGCGTGATCTTGGTAGGAAGCATTTTGGTCTTCGGATATCGGTCGTCGAGGCTTGGTTGAAAGAAGGTCGCTACATGGATGCAACTTTCGCACACAGACTGAAGCTCGGAGAAGCATCCTCAGGTAGATGCTTTCGGGTCTGTTGTCTAAGCCTGTAAAGGGCCCACCCTTCCAAGACTGAAGTCCCTCCGTGGCCTGTCGTGCGCGTCCGTACTGCCGGAGTGAGACTACTAGCAGGTATGAAGCGACCTCGGATGAAGGAAACGCTTTGTGTTATCTCTGGCTTGGCGGCGGGCGCAGAGACAGAGGGCTTCAATCAACCATACAGACCCTACAGTAGAGGGCGTGTAGAACGCCTGGATCACCAGTCCTGCAGCTCTCTGTTTGATGTGACTTGCTCAACCTGTGCTTCTGTAAGCATGGCCTGGCTCGAAGATCCCACCACCGGCATTTGGGGTTCGGTGTTTAGGTCCCTCTCAAAGCAGACCAAGCCACAGCCATGACCACGAAAATGAAAACAAGGTCCGGGATTGGGCGATTGAGCTGCCTGGCTGAGGAGCTGCAAAATGAAATCCACTGGAGTCCTTCTGTCCCGCTCTCTGTCTCTGTCGTGCTGCGTCTCTCGGTTTGTTTCTGCGAATGCATCGTTCATATGCTTCTGTAACATGTATTTAGATTCTTACAGGTCCAGACACACACACACACACACACCCGAGTAGACGGATAGATGGTTAGATAGATAGAGAACGACCCAGCCAGCTCGCCAGCTAAATAGCTAGCTAGCTAGATGGATAGAGGTGTGTGTGTGTATGTATGTACGTCTGTATATATGTACCATAGAGACACGCTTTAGATGCATACACGCACACACACATGTATTTATGTATATATATATATATGTATATCCATTTCCATATTTTCATACTTACATATGTATATAACGGGCATGTAAAAAGCATGTGCGGTGCACGCATTCATGCTTGGCCATGCGCAGACCCATGCTGCCGAGACCTGTCATTTTGCTGGCACCCCCACTCCCAGCGATGCCTGTTGGTCTGGATGATGCTGATCGTGATCGAGTACAGGGCCCAGCTGATGAAGCTTATCTGGCGCGGTCGCGGGATTCGGGCTTGAGACTCTGACGTCTATCTTTCAATCGTTCAGGTTCGGGCTGTGATGACGCATTGTGGATGGTTAGGAAGCTCTCATCGGTGTCGAGTTCGTGTCTCGCAGTCCTCCACATGCCTCTAATGCTGCTGTAAACTTATGAAACATCAGCGTTGCCGGCCTGTTCATTCGACCTCCAACTACCACATGCTGCTGCGGCAGTGTAAATTTAAATTGGAGTGTTTATGACTAGGTCGCGAGGGGTGACGAAAGCTGCAGTTTTTCCTTCATTCACATTTGACATCTCCCAGCAGGATCTTCATGTGGACATGGGCTTGGTCTCCGGGTGCCTTTGGTGTCGGAGTACACAAGAGAGAGAGAGTAATGTAGGGGCCTTAATAATTAGAATAGGGTTTTGGGGCCCATTGTACTATAAGTATAATAAGGAACCTTTCAAAACAGTATAGGTAATGATTTAGGCCCCTATATTCTGAGAGCGGTCCGGCGGTCCCTTGCCTTCGCGAGCTGAAGGGGCAAGAAGTCCAACCTCGTCCCACTGAGCGTGCAAGTCTTTGGTCTTTGCTTCACAAGAACGATATTGATTGGTCAAGATCACCGGAGTGGTTCATGTTATCCTACCTGTCTATGGGACAACCACGCAGGAACATAAACATCACAACGAATGTGCCAAATAGGCTGCTACAAAGACTGCAAAGTTCGTCCTTCAGGCAGCCGCGAGGTCACACTAACTACTTCCAAACAGCCCACATAGGATGTGGTGAGTGCGTATAGGGCTGCTTTTGGATGAAACAGAACCCGGTACCACATCGGGAAGATAGGCCCTGCAACACCCACGATTGCGAGAATTGCCTGGGGATCAATTTCACTCAGCATGTGCTCTGCATGAGTGGCTGGCTCCATCGGGGTCCCTTTGGATAAGTCTCTATTCGGTCTATTCGGTGCATCGCAGAGTCTTGTGTATTCTCGCTCGACCTTGAAGAGCTTCAGACCACGACTACAACGCCAACCATTCACTACGACTGACGACGACACCGCCTCTGATGCTACTGTTTTTGTTTCTCTTTCTTGTAGCATACAAACACTCCAATAAAGACCAAAGTCGCTATTTTTTTTTCCCTTGGCGGTAGATGTGTTCACAATGGTACTACTATTCCAATACTTATGGAGAGTAACCATCCTGAATAGTTTCCTGCTGAACTGTGCGCTTGGGGGCGGCAGGGGCTTGCCGCTGTTGGCCTTGACCAGAGCTGCCACCTCCAAAGTGCCTCTTGGGGGTTGCAGAAGTTCAGGGGCAGTTGATTCGGGGATGTTGTCATAGTAACGATCCTAGTTCTACATGTGCGTCACCGGTTCTCTGAAACTTCCTTCAAATGGCCTACGACGTAGGCCACTCCAAGTTGAGGCTTATTGTTTGGACGTAGGGTCTGAAGGTTGAGGCCTTACTGGCTTCGAGGTCCTAAATAATCAAAGCCCTATTCTAATTGTTACTGGCTTTGAAGGTCTACGGTTTGGTGTTCATGGTGTCAAAGGGTTTGGGTTATTGGGGTACTTTGTAACGAAGAGCTTAGGGAGCTAGGAGAACCAAGGATATTTGAGGATACGGCGTAATGGCATTTGCTTACCTTTGGTTAGTAGGGAATGGAGGAATGGGATACAATAATAGCTAAAGTTACTACCATTCTTCCATTCCCTACTAACCAAAGGTAAGTTTGGAAACACGGGCTAGGAAGCTTCGTAGCAACAAGTCGGGCAGCGAAGCTATCCAGGACTGACAAGACTGCTGGATTCCACTTGTCGGGTATCGTGGGGAACTAAAGGTTCACCTTTTTGATTATATAGGGGGTTATATAGGGGTTGTACCACCCCAAAAAGGTTAAAGGTTACCTACTCTACTACTAGGGGTATATGGCAAGGTCCTTTGCCAAAGCGTGTCGGATCCAATCCGGACTGTGAATCTTTGGGCAGTGTGTCAACAAGCCCGACACTTTTCAAATCCGGACCGGAAGCTCAACCTCATTGTCTTCAAGCGGCCCGCAAAAACCAAGTGATGCTTGCTAGAATTCGGTACCAAGAGCAGAAAAAGAAGAGGCCGAACCAAGAATCCGCAGCGCAGGTGAAGACAAGCTGCACCAAAGGCGGGTGAAGTATTGTGGACTCCTCGGCAGTTCTAAAGGACTGTGGCAGGTGGAAGAAAAATTTAGCTCTAGAGCGGCATGTTACAAGCAGCGAGGACGGGCAACTCTTGGCAGTGAGTGCTGCAACATGCCATACCCACATATATATATATTCTTAGATATATACAGGTCAGAAAGTTTGAGATCAGGAATCCACTGAGCTGCCTCCAAGTCACCACAGCAAGAGGACACGATTGGCGCACCCGACAAAGGCCGCAAAGGAGGTAACACCCCTTTGCTTGAGGTCTAGATCCTCGGCTTACAACTCAGCAGTTTACTTACTTGTCGGGTATCATGGAGAACTAAAGGTTAACCTTTTTGGCTAGAGGGATTATATAGGGACTATACTATCCAAAAAAGGTTAAAGGTTACCTACTCGACTACTAGGTTTAAGGCCAAAGGCCCCGGCTGATGGGTGAAGGCCGAGCTGGTGTCTATACGCTCCAAGAAACCGTGAGCATCCCAAGTCGCTCAGCTGCTACTTGGAGGATCATGGGACGTAGGAAGTGAGGTTATAAGTACCTTAATCGGGGTTATAAGTAGTTATAAGTATAGTTACCCTAATGATAACCCTAGTTACCTAGTTACTAAGTCCCATGATCTTTTAAGTAGAAAGACTGTTGAGGGTGCCAAGCCAGAAGCAACTTGGGATTTGGGGAGACATCGGGGGATCACGGCTGAGCGCTGCGGAGGCACAGTCTGGTGCACGCAGAACTTATCCAAGAAGTAGCTCTTGTCCCAGAGGTAGACATGCACGTGGTGCGAACAGGCCAGTGCCCAGAAAAAGGTCACAGAACCCAGGAACCTGTGGTGGCCAGAAGCATGGGAAGATCGTGAGCAGTCTCCTTCCTCCTACAAATCACGGTGTCAGAACGTGCTCCCAAGAAAGCTTCTTTCGCTGTCTAACCCGCGTGATGATGACGCTGCTGCTGATGAGGATGATGATGGCGATTACGCTTTGAGCTTGACAGCGGGTTTGGCAGCCACCCCCCTAGCTGATGTCAGCTTCGGAGCAAAGCCCAGGGGAAGAAGGCCACGTCACTGGTCTCTGGATGATACCTGATCACCGGATGCTCTTTTTAAGACAGGCAACCTACCTGCACAAACTCGCAGCAAAAGTACTAGCTATGATCATCCCAGCTCAATGCTAAACCCGACAACCCACAGGAGGACCCGGAGACTGTGAGTCCCAAATCCTACAGCGGCTCTGAGCTCGACTCGCCTAGGCAGGATGTCCACGCGGGCCAAAACGCCGCAGCTTACCGCCACGGTCGTGGAAACGGCCATCGCGAAATGGAGGTTACCTCACGGAACGGAACATTTCCCGTGTTTGGATCTGCAAGAAATTGATATGTGTAGGGTTCCTCCGAACCGCAATCTAGCGTCCAGCATCCTAATTCAAACCTGTTTCTTTGAGCCTATGTGGGCAGTATTGACCGCAGCTCAGCGGCGAAGGGTGCTCAAGCCCTCAACCCCAACCGCAGAGTATGCATTTTTTGCCTGCGTCTGTGAGCTCAAGGTTATTTGGACTTTGCAAGAACACGAGAAAACAACGGATGCTTTCACAGGGGTGGGAGCTGGGACGGACTCTGAGCAAGCAACTCATGAACTTTTGCAGATGGCTGGTCATGTTTGGCGCATCAGGATTTAGCGAGGATTCTCAGAACGATCACCTAGTCCTTAAAAACGGCTTCAGAACTAACTCACTGTCTCGTCATTGCACGCTTCCCTGTCATTGCTTCGACACGAAGAACGAAGGCAATCCGAGCTGCTGTGGATCCATAGCGCCAGTATCTTCCCAAAGCGATGGTCTCGCCAGCTATGACTGATGAAGAAGTCCTTGTCCCAGCATAAAGCACTTAGCCCTCCGTCTAGCAGAAACTATGTTGCTGATCATTATCAAAATGCCAGAAGACAATGCTCTACAGCATGTAGCCACATCCAGCTGTGGACAGTTACAGGCTTGTCTGGTTGCATGTGCTTGGAGGATCATGGGACTTAGTAACTATAGTTATAAGTCCCTTAGTTGGGGTTATAAGTAATTATAAGTATAGTTACCCCAGTAATAACCCTAGTTACTAAGTCCCATGATCCTTTAAGTGTGTGAGAAGGCCCCAAAACTTCTGCTCCAAAAATCTGCAAAGCCGCAAAGCCACGGAAGCTCCAAAGGGCCTCAAAGACCCAAAAACGCCAACCCCCCCAATCCCTAAACCCTAAACTCTAAGCCGTGGCCCCCGGTCTTCAAACTTTACATCCCAAAAAGAGGAGCCAAAATCTTCGAGCTTCGGCTCCTACCTTCTCTGATGCCTTGTCTCTTGGGTTTAGGGTTTAGGGTCTCTCCTCTCCAAAAAAAAGCAGGTTTTTGTGTTTAAGTGTATTGTTGTCATGACTATGTTGTCATTATTATGGCTACTACTATGGTGGTAGGTTTGGTTGTAAAAGCTGACGCGCTCGACTCGGACAACGCATCCCTTCTCGGGATCCCAGAGCCGTTCACAAATTACTTTTGGAAGCTTTCCTGCGTGCGCCGAGAAGTTATGTTGCCGTGAATTACCTGTGAAGGTTGGAGGGTAAGCATCTACGATTGCCTGGAAAGCGGCCCTAAGTCTGCCAAGCATCGAGCTTCTGCACGGGCTGCGACTTGGCATACAGCATCGCGCCCTGCGTAGAAAGATTGCAGGGTACAGTCTCTCCGCCGTTCCGAGTTTAGAGCATTAAACGCTTAAGCTAGCGTGGCGAGGGCTCCTCTCCCTGCAAAGCACCGTTCACGCCCTCAGCTTTCAGAGTATCTTTGCAAAACGAAACAGCTTTGCAAGCTTGCTGGAGAAACTATGCTCCTGTCATGTCCTTAGGCTCAGAACTATGTCTCCTTGAAGGGGACTTCAAGCAATCCCGCCATTCCAAACCCGAGAAGAGAGAAGAGAAGCAACACTTTTCTGATGCAGAAATCTGAACCAGTGCCTTTGCTTCAAGACCTGCTTGTCACGGCCCCGGGCGCAAATTGACCTGTTCTGGTACCTTTATGAAAATCTGCAGATGCTGACCTGTGAAGGTTAACTACTCAGCCACTACCAAGACCTCGAAGCTCCGACTTGTGGAGAGCTCCCACTGTTTAGAGAGTTTCTCAGATGTTCTGCATCCAGTTGTCTTCGTGCTGAATCGTAACCTGAGGGGTACGTTGTTGAGGGGTGCCATCGTGCTCTCCTCTGTCCAGCTTTTGAACTTAAGATCGCTATTCTCCGAAAATCACACCAAACCCTAAACCCTAAACCCTGAACCCTAAACCCAACCTTTCAGAGCAACGTTCCGTCAGGTCCCCCGGCCTCTTCAGGCGAGTACGTCTGGGCTGCAAGACTGGCCATGCTAAAGTGACCTGGTGGCATAATGTAGGGGCCTTAAAAATTAGAATAGGGTCTTGGGGGTTCCTAATTGTTATTATAGTCTACTATATCACTTTGTCACTTGAAGCTTCGATGGTTTAGGGTTTCAGGCTTTGCTTGAACCCTGCGAAAACGCATCATGTCGAGATCAGGCAAGTCCGGACAGAAGGCCTGAGAATCTGTTCCGCAACGAACTATTAACTACAGTGCATGTGCTAGCATGGGGCCCAAATGCTCCACAATAGGAGAGAAAGAAGAAACAGAAAAGGCAAGCAGCCACAGCCCTGAATGGGAGAGTAGGAAATCCAAGCTTCCTTTGCAGCCTAACACGAGCGAAACTGCGAAGAAACCAAGACGTTAGGAGGAAAGGAACATCACTTGCAAAAGGAAGCAAACCACTGGAGCTCACTGCTAACATCGTACAGGACAAGTCCAAGTTCTGATTCCGGACTGTCGCCACGAAAGCCGAAACCTGTCTGGCCCTCACTCAAAATTGGTATGGTTGTCCCAGGGGCGTCCGCAGCGGTGGAGGATGTGTCGGAGGCTGGTGCCCCGCAGCAAAGTGAAGTCACGCAAATTTACGCTCCTGGGCGAAGGGATCTGGAATCCTGAAGAATAAATGAAGCTTTATAGTACCAGAACGTGCGGACGATGAGCAAAACAGGCAAGTACACAATCTTGGTTCATGAAGATTAAATTAATCTTGGAAGGAAATGAGGCTTTCGTGCTGTTAGGCCTTGTTTGATAAAGTCTGGTATCTTAGAGTGTATAGCAGCACCAACAAGTACCAAGCAAGCATCACCACCACCACCACCACCACCACCACTACCACCACCGCCATCGCTACCACCAGCACCAATTTCGGCTGCTACTGCTGCTACTGCTGCTGCTACTACTACTACTACTACTACTGCTACTATTGCTACTCCTGCTGCTGCTACTACTACTGCTACTACTATTGTTACTATTTCTACTACTAACTACCCCTACTACTTCTTCTACTACTGCTACGAACATCGCTGCCACTGCTACCACCTTAGCACGGTCTCCTAGCTTCGTTCGTTTTGCACCCCTCCTTCAGGGGCCAGCCGGTTGCAATTGTGCATTGGGATGGGTGCAGGTAAACCGAGGGTGGTCCCGAAGACAATCCACTCCAGATGCTACCTCACAGTACAGCCTTCTTTGATATGATTGACCTTGTTGCTGCAGAAGGTCGCAAGTTTAAGACATGTGTGCTTGATCAGTGTGCCGCCTAGTTGCAGAGACTCCGGCGACATTCCCTGGGAAGGCGGAGACGTAATAAAAGGAGGGCTAGGAACTAGCATCACTAAGTCTTCAGGCCCCCTTCCTCTCATAAAAGAGTCAGGAAAAACTTACAGGCTTAGCGCCTCCAGAATGCTAGCTTGGAGGAGCCTTCTTCTAAAGAGCACTCGACGGGGTGTCCTTATGCTTCTTAAAGTACCGCACGCAGGGTAGCTGTTTATGATGACATAGGGGCATGAATAATTAGTTTTTGTAGTCATGACCCCTTAGGATTCCTTGTGTTTATACTAGAATACGTTTCCGCCATCAGAAGTATCGAAATCCTTTCGCCTGAGGCTGTGGTTGCAATCTTGCAGTTTAAGGCCAGCCTTCAAGGTTCAAACAAACCCTCAACTACCTTAAATCCCCAAACCCTAAACCCTAACATCCTAAGCCCTAAATCGTAAATTCCCTAAACCCCATATGACGGTCAGGAAGGCTTCGGAGCAACCAAGAACTCAAAACCGAATAGCGCCCCAGACACGAAAAACTCCAACACTACGATTCAACCTAAAACGCTTACAGAAACCTCACAGGAACCCTTACAGGAACTACCCCCAAGCCCTAAACCTCAAAACCAAAACCCCAAACCAGGCCCCTTACATCAACCCACACAGAAGCTGTTTAAGCGAGCCCTTCAACCCCAAAAGCATCAAAACCCAAAGCAAATTCTGCCATGCAGCCGACTCCGATCTTTCCTGAAAACGTCATGGGACTTAGTAAGTAGGTTATAAGTGGGTTTATAAGTCCCCTAAGTGGGGTTATCCTAAGTATAACCTACTTATAACCTTACTTACTAAGTCCCATGAGCCTCCCAGTAGGACTCCATTCGTGCTTTAGGTTTTTCAGGTCTCTTTCGCTTCTGCAAGCTTAAGAGAGGTTTCGTTCAGCCTTCCGTAAAACTCTAACGAGTTTTGTGTGGTGGTGGTAACATGGACGGGGGGCCAAAAGGGGGCTTCAGATTCTTGGGGTAGGGATTCCTTAATATGAACCCTATTATGGGAACCCTAATCCCTATTAAACCCCCATAGGCTAAAACCCCTTTCGGCCTCCTATGAAACATCTCCTCCATTGTTCGGCTTAGGCTTCAGTTTAGGGCTCGGAGCTTTGGGTTCATTGCTTTCGCATAGGCTTGAGAAGTTTGGGGATTGACCCTAAACCCGAAACCCAAAGATGAATTTGAGTAGCCATGCTTCTCATTGAGCCTGCATCGCTTGGCGTGTCAGTGCCATTCAGGACTTGTCTCGTTGCGCTTGATACGATTGTTTTCATGAGCTTTGTCTTGCCATGGGGGTAACGGCTTGCTTTGCATTACTCTTGCTACGGTGGTTTTTGTCCATTCGGTTTTTGCTGGCGTGAGAGCTATGACAGCTGCGGCTACTACTCCAGGCACTACCGCAGTGTGGCTGCAGACGCTCTAAAGTAAAAGCCAGAAAGTTGGAATATGATTATCCTAAACCCTTTATGGTAAATTATAGGGTATCCTACCCTAAAACCATATTCCAACCTTCTGGAGTTCCCTTTAAGGATCTGAGTCGCGAAAGCCCTGGGTGGACGGGAGACCCATCCACTTGAACGGAGAGGACAAAGATTCACGCCAGCGAAACCAGCAAAATCTCTGAAAAAGCCTGTGCCACTACAACGCTGCAGGCAAGTTTCCAAGGATTTCTTCTCGTTGTCTGAGGAGCGCCGCTCCTCCATGCTTTGGAGTGCTTCCTGTGACCTCAGGCTCCAAGTGGACCCTAAACCCCTAAAGATCCCTTATAGATCCCTTTAAGGAGCCTCTTAAGGAACCCTCTACACTCCCTATAGATCCCTTGTAGAACCCTTTAAAGCTCAGGTAGCCGAGAGATCCTTGGACCTGAATCTCCGATCACTAATGTGGGGACTCTAAGAACTAGAGTTTAGAAGCTGCCCCCACCCTGTAATAGTGACTATAAGGATCATATGAGGGCCCTATTCTATTCCTATTATACTACTATTACATAAAGAACCTACCTTTTTAGGGTTGTTTATTATGATTTCCTTGTGTAAGTCCTTAAAAAGGTAGGTTATTCCGGGTTAAGGTAAAATAGAGTCCATGTAATAAGAGTATCCAGAGAACCCACTACCCCTTAACTAAGGAATATACCTCAAATTAGAGGGGCCTTAATATTATGATTTAAAGTTTATTCCTTAATTAAGCAGTTTTGGGCCTCTTTATAGTATATTTATCACAAGGAACCCAAGGAATAACATTGGTGACTATCTAGGCTTGTATATCAGCCTCAGGGATCATGTCCACCAGGCAAGCTCACATCAGACTCGCGACTTGTCTTCTAGCCGCCATGCCCCGAAAGGTTCATAAGGAGCTTCGTCACGAATAGGGATTCAGAATGTCGTGTCACGCACACCGACAAGTACGGCAGTAGTAGATTGGGTACGGCTCCCACTCAGTACTGGCTAAATAATATTCATAGTATAGATGTATTAGGGCCTTATTAGTAGCCCTATTATAAACTCTTACTGTATGGGGGCAGTACCTAAGTAGTAGAGGTCAGGACTATGAAACATTCCAGATGTGAGCTGCCCGAGGACGAAGCCATCAGGAAAAGCCTTCGAGCCACCATGCGTATTTGCTCTGAGCTAGGTCGAGCTTCGCTTCATCCGAAAGCTGCATTATCTCATAAAGAAGTGCGTTGTCTCAATACACACCTTGCTTTCTGAGACTGAGCACAAAGCATGGGCTTCTTAGATCCGGATTCCTTGTGTAATCCGTCCCGGAGTACGTCACTGACATAGCTAAAGAATTATGGGTATGACTTTCCCTGGCTGTTTTCGGCAAGTAGCACGGCCATGGATGTCTGTTCGTCCACAGGCTCCTCCTCGCTAGCATCTGTGTTCTCCACACTCTCTGCCACCTGCAACTGACAAGGTCGGATACACATAAGGCCCATGAGACTACTGAGATTACTGGGACGCCCCCTCTATGGTCCCCAAACCGGTGCGGACAACTTTCGCATCTCATGACTGTTTTAGGGCATGGTGGGTTCTCAACATCGGCTTCAACTCATCCGCGAATTGCAGGCTTCGCAACGTGCGCCAGAGGAAGCCTAGCCGGTATCAAGCCCAAGCCGCGCCCAAACCCAACTGCCCTGCTACAGTCAAGAACTCTACAAAGAATGCGTTCAAGACAGAAGAGAGCTTCGGAAAAAAAATTACTGTAGTTGTAATCAGAATTCCCAAGGAAAGCGACGACTGATGATTCAGGCCCTCATGTTCATACGACATGCGTCCATGGTTACAACTACGCCAGATGGAAACTCACACAAGATCGAGAAGTGGTGCGAAAAGGCGAATGGAGTCTGGAGGTTTGGATTGTGGAGTCTACGGTTTCTGGGGTTTCGGGATTTCGCACGTAACGGTTCCTAGGGCTTGCTTCTGGGCTGGGTTTAGGGTTCAGGGTTCCTAAACTTTTCATACTATTTTGGGAGTTCCTTATCCATATTGTTATGATTATAGTATAATGGCCCCCCCAAAACCTATTCTAATTGTTAAGGCCCCTACAGTAGAGGTGAAGGAGCTTCCCGCCTCATCAACCTGGACTCACCTTCTCCTTACCTTTGGTTAGTAGGGAATGGAAGGGGCCTTACAAAGGGGTCTATAAGGGTTACTACAGGGGTACTATAATATAGGGGCATTAGTAATACCGTAACTTACCTTTGGTTAGTAGGGAATGGAAGAATGGTAGTAATAGTAGTTAGAATTGTACCCCATTCCTCCATTCCCTACTAACCAAAGGTAAGTCTCAAGCCGAAGAGAGATGTTCCTTTGAGCATCACGTGCTAGCGGCGACTGGTTTTTTTGGGGAGAGCTTAGAGTGCAAGGTTACCCAAAACCCAAGACCTTACGATGCGAAGCCTGAGAACGAACCTCCCGAACCGACTCATAGCTTAACATTCATGGAGGTGATTCAGTTCTTGTTTTGTGGTGTCCTTCCTGTGTCCTTGGGGCACTGGGGCTGTTGAGACAGCTTCTGGTTGAACATCCTGACTCCGCTGGCATGTCGAAGCAACTGCCTTGCAGCCCCGAGCGTCCAAATTGAGGGTGCTATATCTTTCGGGATCCTCTCAGAAGGACTCTGCTATCTTGCCTCTCCCTAGATCTTCATGTACAGACCTTGGGATCCACTATTTCTGCAACTCATATATTAAATATGCTCCCGCCCGGATGGCGATGACATGGAGCTGCTCATCACCCGTCCGCTCGCAACAGGCTACACAGGTTGCCATCATGGCCATTGGGCACGGCGGGATTTCAATGTGAGATTAAAAAGCCTGCTCCTTCCGGTTTAGGGTTTAGGGTTAGAGAGCCCTGGAAAAGACTTGATAGCACAGGTTGATGGGATGGCTCGGAAAGGTGGTGGCTGACTTACTGTGTGGTTTGGCGGCGAGTATGGGTTTTGAGCGTGTCGCCTCCTTAGCCCTATCGCCAAATGTGTTTGAAGGTCTGGAGAATGCTGCTTTGGTGTCACTCTTCTTTGTGACCTTGTGACATGAAGGCTGAAGGTTCTGGGCTGAGGCATGCAGCTTTAGTGGAGCTTTGTGATTGGAATGGGGGGGTTGGGGGTTGGGGTGGGGTGGGGTTCAACGAAACTACCCTAGCGCCAGCCAGGCTGCGGCGTGCGGAGATCAGACTGGGTTGACATAGCGACGCTGACGCAACTCGCTGGGCGCATCTGCTAGTGTAATACTGGTAGGCTTGCAGCTGTACCAGCACAATCAGAAAGATATGATATTCGTGTTTTGGGGGCAGAGTGGCGTTTTAGGGGCACAGTGCAGTAGAGCTATATCCAGGAAACCTAAGGAATAGCTTTACTAGTTATTCAGGCCACTATATTTGCACCAAAACCCCGTGCAGGGGCCACAGTCTTTCTCTGATGTTTAAGTGTCCGGGGCTTCGTTTTCCATGATAGCCGGAAGTAGATCCTAAACTTGCCGAAGCCTTCGCAAGTAGAAGGACTCAAAGCAGATGAGCTCAGGCACGCTTCTAGCTCATGGTTGGGATAGGACTGAACATCTACATTTTTATTCCAGAATGGGTTTGAAGTACTCATAAACATGCAACATGTTACCCAACTATGACGAAGGCTTAGGAGACTGTCCTGGGATCAGCCATCAACGAAAAGACACCGAATCGTGAACCCTACTACCTGCAGTGCTTGCGTATGTCACAGGCAGGCTCGAAAGCACCGTCATCCGAGTATTAAGCGGTTACAGCCGTGGTTGCCTAGCTTGCAAGCATAGTGGTAGCGATGGAAGTCGGGGTGGTAGCAGTAGTCGGAGTCGCAGTGGTAGTGGTAGTCGCAGTAGTAGTGGTAGTAGTAGTAGTGTTAGTAGTAGTCGTAGTAGTAGTAGTAGTAGTAGTAGTAGTAGTAGTAGTAGTTGTAGTAGTAGCAGTAGCAGTAGCAGTAGCAGTAGTAGTAGTAGTAGTAGTAGTAGTAGTAGTAGTAGTAGTAGTAGTAGTAGTAGTAGTAGTAGGCAGTAGTAGTAGGTGTAGTAGTAGTAGTAGTAGCAGTAGTAGTAGTAGCAGTAGTAGTAGTCGTAGTAGTAGTCGTCACAAGTAAGCACAAAACCAAAAAGCTCTAAACTCTGAACCCCCGCAACAACCACAGTGATGACATGCTTGGGCTAAGGCCTTTCGCTCGCTAGCCACCTGGACCATTTCGCATCCTTTCCGGATCGCCTCCTTGATGGGTTGTGCAGGCGCTGCATTTCCAAAGCCGTTCTAGTCGCGTCTCTCACCGCACACGAGGCTGACTCACTCCCATTTGAGCGGAACCAGGTGTTGCAAGACAGAAACAAGACAGCAAAGCAACGAATCTTTTCGGGCCAGACCCGGTTCTCAGTTTAGTTCTAATCTACCTGGATCGTTCTGATGACCACTTACTCGGAAGTTTTTGAAATTTCCCGGCTTCTTTCCTGGAGTATGGGGTCCTGCCTAAGTGAGCAGAATCGGCTTTGAGGCAGTGATAGCCTGACTGATAATGTACCACTAACTCTCACTCCCCATTGAACCATGCCCGCCTTGAAGGCTTCACTTCCAAGAAAAGGAACCCAAGGTCGAGTAAAGGAGTGTACATTACATTATGTGTATATACATATATATATATATATATATGTGTGTGTTCATATATCTGTATATATATATATATATATACATACAGGCACTTACACACAGTTTGTATATATCCCCGTCAGAAAGAATCATGATTATGGAGTTTCGCAGGTCAGCCCTCAGTCCTAAATCCTAATTCGAGCGGACCCTGGAATTGTTCTAGTCGTTTGAGGGTGCCCTGGTTCGCTTCCGAGTCTGCAAATGAAGGGTAGATGGTTCCACGGTCCAGACACAAGCGGTCCGGAACGGAAGTTGCACGTTATATACTATACATCCTCATTGCGGTAACTACTTTCGTAGCACGGGTCTGGAATTTGGGCTTCTGTTGAAGAACTTAGCTCAAGCTGCCAGTTTATGTGCAATAAAGCCCTGTTGTGGCAACTAACACAAACAGGTCACATATCCCCTCAACAAGAACTCAGGTATAGCAAGGCTTCGGAAGACTGCAGGTACTTTTAGTGGAAACCTCTGAGCTTCCTCCCAACATGGATCCTGCCTGCCAGTCCTCCGACCGGATCACCGCATCCGGGTTCTCCGGAGCTAGGAGAAGGTCCCCCAACCTCAGGTCATCGGGCACGGCTCTGGGCTCTTGGTTCAAAAGCAGTTTCGGGATGTGAGCCTCACAGAACAGGCTAAGAAACCATGCAAACTGTGCTCGCAGCTGTCAACAAAGGTTTCTCAATACCAAAAAACTCGAAGACCCAAGCTGCTGATTCTTGTCCTCAAACCCAAGCTACCCCCAGACCCCGAAACCCCCTGAACCTTGTATTACGGCACGATACCTCCTTCTGCGTCTGCAGGCTTTGTCAGATGTTGAGTCCTGCAGAAGCCGGAGGCGTCGACTTCACCCTCGAAGCCGCCAAGACTCAAAAAGTTATAAAGACTTAAGGCTATTCGAATTAATTAAAGCTATGTTTGGTAGGTATAATTAAGGCAATTTTAAGTAATTAAGGCTATTTAAGGCGATTTTTGTTGTATCTACTTCTAGCCCCAACTAGGGTACCTATAACCCCACTTCCTAAGTCCCCTGACCCTCCAAGTAGGCTCCCGCGCTTCCCGCGCGTGGCCATGTTGCGTCCACGCGGCCGCTGGGGAAAATGAGCCAGAGTTGCCCACGGATCGAGAAAGTCTATGGGTGGTTGTCAAAATTATGGTCCATAATTGGGTGCCCTAAATATTAGGTGCCGTATTATAACAGGGACCTAGAAAGGGACCATAATTTTGACAACCACCCATGTGGAAGTTTCCGAAAATAGGGGATCCTAATATAGTAGCCTAGAGAGCAGGATCCTTATTCAAACGAACCCCAGCCCTAAGCTATATGGGAGTTTCCGAAAAATAGGGGATCCTACTTGGAGGATCATGGGACTTAGTAACTATACTTATAAGTCCCGTAATTGAGGTTATAAATAATTATCAGTGTAGTTGCCCCAATAATAACCCTAGTTACGAAGTCCCATGATCCTTTAAGTAACATAATGCCCTAAAGATTCGGATCCTTATTCTAAGGAACCCGGAGGCAAAGATCGGGGCTTTTGGAGCTCCGTCGAGGTCAGATTTTCTGAGCCTTAGCCCTGAAAGGCCCTAATGTAGGGGCCTCAAGAAAAGGGTTTTGGGGGTATATCATACTATATTTTTACTAAGGAATCACCAAAATAACATCCCTGAAAGGCCCTAAACC